GGAACCTGTACATGCTCCTGGTAAAAACTCTAACTGACTTGGGGAATGCGAGGAGTCAGTCTGCCATCTCATCCTACCTTCACACTCTCCCTGTGCCTCGATCCTATCCAGTCTCAGCCTCACTCTGCCTTCTCCACCATCATCTCCCTCCCAAAAGACTGCCCCACCTGCCCAAGCTCCTGGCTTGGCCTCTACTCCTTTCACACCATAACTGTGGTCTAAAGAAGGGGCTCACATGGAGCCAGAACTACTACAGAAAGTCTCTAAACTTCTGTGGGAAGTCCCCACCACCCTCAATCCCAGGACCTTTGTGCATGGTACTCCTTCCCCTAGGCTTTTTCTTCCCTACCTCTGCCCCAGCCCCCTGCACCCCTGCAGAAGGACAACTTACTCCTTCTGCCAGTCACTCTACTGTCATCACATGGCAGGCTGACCTGCAACACACACACACACACACACACACACACACACACACACACACTCTCTCTCTCTCTCTCTCTCTCTCTCTCTCTCTCTCTCTCTCTCTCTCTCTTCTGGCACTGTTAGCAGGGAAGGAGCATTTTTCGAGTCCTCTCTGCAGTCATCTTCATCTCTCCCACCCAATGGGCAGTCCCCTGGGCCAAGAGCACGTGCTGTCTGATTTCTGCCCTGTCCCCAGCTTCTCACCTGATTCCACTTGAGTCAACATGGAGCAAATGAACAGCCAGGTTCCTATCTGGCAGGAGATAAAAAGCAAAAGTTGCATTTGGGGACAAAACTCCCACCCCTCTGGGGCCAGGACACCTGAGATAAAGCAGTAACTCTGGCATTCATATGAAGTGTGACATTAGGCAAGTCACTTCCCTCCTCTGAGCCTTGGGGTGCTTATTTGTGAAACACAAAGCAGATGGAGCAGAGCCAGGGTAAATTTGGAGAGATGCTCGACAGTGTTTGTGTATGCAGCAGCTGTGTGGGCAGGCGCACACTTCTCCCTGACAAGAGCATCCATCGTTTCCATCACATTCTCACCAGGAGCTGTGGCCACCTCAGCTTCAGAACCATGGATTAAGGTAAGGTCGTCTTGTTCAGCTCTGGAGCTCTAGAATTCTAGCAAACCAGAAGAAAAGGAAGTGACCCAACCACAGGATTGATAGCTGGATTCGACACAGAAACTGGTCATCTTACATCAAGGGCGGTTGCAGGTCTGCTAAACTTTAGGGACTCCAGGCTGGGAGAAGCAGAGGCCAGAGGAGTAACCCCAAAGGACGGCTTTAGGAGGGAGGAATAAGCCTGAAGTCTCTTTCTGCGGCTCCCGCCACCATCAGACAAGCATCCACTTGTCTTGGATAGGGCACAGAATGAGGAGGCGAGGTTGGCACCTAGAGATGCCCGCCAGGCCCTTTGGCGCCCAGGTCAGAGAATCTTGGCGGGAACACTCAGGAGGGATGCCAGTCCCTACCCTCCTTCCTCTTTGGGCCCCCAAAGGAGCCTCAGGAGGCCTCAGCATGCACAAACTGTGAGGGCCAAAGAAACAAGCTGAGGGCCATGAGATGGTTCGGCAGGTAAAGGCACCTGCTGCCAAGCTTGATGCCATGAGTTTGATCCTGAGTGGTAGAAGGAGAGACGTGACTCCCAGAGGTTGTCCTTAACTTCCACATGGCATGCGCACACAACGTGCACACACAAGATAAAAATGTTTTTAAAAATTAATAATTAAAAAAAAGCCAGCTGATGCAGAGAAAGATGAGTGAAGACCAAAGGGGTCCAGACCAGGCTTGTGAAACCCACAGAAACAGCTGACCTGAACATCAGTGAACTCTTGCTCTGCCCAGACTGATAGCTGGGATACCGGCATGGGACTGAGCCAAACCCCAGGAACATGGGTTTCAGTGAGGAAACCTCGGAAATCTATGGGACCACCTGTAGTAGTTCAGTACTTATCCCTAACATAGGTGTGGACTTTGGGAACCCATTCCATATAGAGGAGTACTCCCTGAGCCAAGACACATGGGGGTGGGACTAGGCCCTA